ATCAGATCCCACGAGTAGTCCTCAACCTACAGTCCCAATGTCGCTGTCTCCAATATCATCAGAACTCGTAACCATCCTTCATACTCGTAGTAGTCCCGTAGGAGAACCCAGGAGTAGACTTAAAACTGAGAAGGTAGTAGGAGGGAGGGGGGTAGAGAGAGAGAGAGAGAGAGAGAGAGAGAGAGAGAGAGAGAGAGAGAGAGAGAGTTGTGGAGAAAGAAGGGGGAGAGAAGGCAAGGCCTTCCTCCCAGGTACCTGATACGGTAGCTATGGCGCCACAGGGACTGGCGCTGGGCCGCGGGCTGGGCCGGTGGCTGGCGCTGCTCTCAATGCTGCGCTAATTTCTCTCTGCCGCTGAGCTCCTTCTCTCCTCGCTGCTCATGGTAGCGCTACAGCGCTGCGCTAATTCTGCTAACGTCGAAATGCTGCGCTAATCCTGAAGACTAACCTCCTGTCCACTAACCTACCGACTGAGGCTGGTACCCAGATGATATAGTGCTGGGTCGGCCTCAGTCCTACTGAGGGTCTTCGGGTCTGGACCGTTGATCAGGCCCAATGGTTCAGATCCGATTTCGGAATCTGAAAAGTGGCTCCAAAACTGCGCCGCCGGCCGTTGGGTCTGGTGGGGTCTAAATGAGGCCTACTGGACCCTAAACTGAACCGACGGGTCCTAGGCCTCCCTGCACCTAAGCTGGGCCCGTCGTGACCAGTAACTAGGCCTGAACCATGCCTGCTTCAGAACCAGGCCCTAACTGTGGCCCGTGTGGTATCAGTATGCCACAGGGCCATTCCTGGATTGAGAGAGAGAGAGAGAGAGAGAGAGAGAGAGAGAGAGAGAGAGAGAGAGAGAGAGAGAGAGAGTGTGTAGCATATCAGAAAGTGAAATGCACTGAAAGCCTCGGATCTAGCAATGACGAAAGTGGCAACCAGCAGCATAGGTGCAACATTCACAAGGTGTCAACGTGCGCGATGCAAGGAGTGAAACAACGGGAAATCAATAACAACCCATTTGTATCATCATCGTCATAGGCTGGGAAGCAGCGCGGCGGAAGATTTAGTATCAAGAGGACACGTGGACAACAACATTAAAGGGAGAAACTTCGGAAGGGCAAGACACTAGAAAGATTGCCCTTCCGCTCACACACATGGGGAGAGATCCTTAGACATGCGAGAGAGAAGGGGGAGGGAGATAGAGGTAACCAAGTCCAACCCAAGTCTGATCTCCGAATGTCACACACAACTCAATCCCAATGTAGAGTGTAAGTCCGATCTGAATGTCGTGTCCAATAAGGCAGAAGGCCGTGTCCAAAACAATGTCTGCTGTTACCTCTATCTCTACTCTGATAAAGAAGAAGAAGAAGAAGAAGAAGAAGAAGAAGAAGAAGAAGAAGAAGAAGAAGAACTTCGGAGGAGTAGGAGGAGAAGAGGAGAGAAGAAGAAGAAGAAGAAGAAGAAGAAGAAGAAGAAGAAAGCTAGGCGCTTTCT